ACAATGAGTATAATAATCACAATGGTTGTGGGCAGTTTTGCTGTAGCTCATAAAATGAGCCCATTTTTAAAACTTGGATGTATGGTCACTCTATATATTCAAAAAAATTAAGATAGATTATTGATGGAAAACCCTTGAGAGTATTTTTCATTTTTTCCTTAAAGGAACCGAAGCTTCCCATGTGTTATTTTTCAAATTTAATAAACGACCTCTGTAGCCAGGTTTGTGCCAGGTACTGAGTGCTGGCGCTCTTCCCCCGCACCTTGTCCGCCAATCCCTGTGCCCATGATAGCCCAGTGATTCCAGTCCTGCCCCTTGTCTGGACTCTAGTCCCACTTAAGTTGGAGCATGGAGACCCACCGTCGTCCACAGGCGCTCTGGTATTCCCTTGCCTCTCACATCTCTTCTGCTTCCCTCTGGCCCCCAGCCTTGGCAGGTCTCGAGCCCACACATTGTCCTTGATTCTCCTTGCCGGCTAGCCTTCCCTGACCTGCTTACCTCATCCAAGGCCTCTGCTCAAGCACCTGCATCACACCACTGTTTATTGTCCGTATTCCCTCACCACTGTCTGAGATTACCTTGTTCTTCCATTATCTGTCACCCCCTTTGGAAATGGAAAGTTTTGTGACAGCAGGAATTTTATTTAACTTAACCGGATCACCAAGGCTTAAACCATTACTGACACATGATAAATGTTTGAATATATATGGATTATTTAATTATCACACAACCATACAGTGAAGTAGGTATATCCTCATTTTGCAAGTGAGGGACCTGAATACACAAGTAACTTACTAAAAATCACTCAACTATTAAGTGACAAAGCTGAGATCAGAATACAGGTGTGTCTGTGTCCAGAACTTTCACAGGATCTCCCTCATGATATGGAAGTTTTCCAGGTGGGAGTCTGGTCACCATTCACTGGAAACTCAGCAGAAAATAGGTTGAATTGCTGTGCTTTGGATTCACACATGCCCGAGTCTTGGCTTCCCTCTGTGCACATACGCACCAGACTTCCAGGCTCAGCTCAAATGGCAGACGACTGTACCCTGGAGGATTCTAGAGAATAAGAGGCTGAAACGGCCTCTTCATTGTACATTTCAGCCCCACAAGGAAGCGTTTACCGAAACAAAGGAAACTGGCAAGCAAGTGCCCAAGAGTTGCTAAAGTATGGTTGATACGAAATCCTGTAGGTGAGTTCTAGAAAAAAGGAAGTGAAAAAATAGGGAAGCTGTGGCTTCAAAATGAAGTCAGTTCCCAAATTGTGACTGAATTGTAACCTTAAATGTGTTTTTTTGTTGTTAAATGCATAATGACAAACTTAGTAAATTATACCAAGTTGAGACAGCTAAGTAGCTATCATAGGTGCACAGAGGCTGCCCACTAGCCATTATAGGATCACCATAAGGAAAGAGACCAAAGAATACGAGCAGTGTAAGCCCCCTTCAGGTAGTGTTTCAAGTCAAGAGACTAGCTGTGTGTTAAGATAGATATAGATATATTTTTTTAATTACTAAATTTGTAATAGGAATAATTGTGTGTTTTGGGTTTCATAATTTATTATTTTTTAAGTTTTTTTTGAGAGAGGGAGAGGGAGAGAGAGAATGAACGGGGGAGGGCCAGAGGGCAAGTGAGAGAATCCCAAGCAGGCTTCACACAGTCAGTGTGCAAAGCCCAACTCGGGGCTCAATTCCACAAACCTTGAGATTGTAACCTGAGCTGAAATCAAGAGTCGGATGCTCAACCAACTGGGCTACCCAGATGCCCTTGGGTTTCATAATTTTAAATCAGTAGTACTCTTCTTTTAGAATCCTGTTATTCCCAGGTTACCTTGATACCTGTCTGTGTGGGTGTGTTTTGCTGCCCTCTGCTGCTAACAGTTGGTACAACAGTGAAGTGTTGACTCCCAGGGCTACCCCTTAACATTGCTAGAAAGGTGAAGGATTGGGAAGACAAGTCTGTGTTAGGAATTTTTCTCTCCTAAAGCAAACTACTGTTTCAACCAATGCAGCCCAACCAGCCTATGCATGCCTCTGCTCCCCACAACTAACCCCCAAAACTAAACATCAAAGTGAGAAATGGTGCTTTTGCTAAGATGTCAATGAAATGATTTGGATTTTTAAGTTATTTGAAGGATCACATCAGTAGAAAGGTGAATGCTGAAAAGACACCCCTCCAGCCAACCACACCCAGAATGTGTTCTCTAGATTAATCTTAACCTTCCAAGAGCCAATCACCCCTCTGCTTTGCCTCCATCATGCACACACACACACACACACACACACACATTTACTTCAGATGAACTAACCAAATATTTTCACTCGTTGGACATGAGTGCAGTGTGATGGTTAATAGCTATTGAAACTAGATTTTGCTTGACTCAAGGCTCACCCACTTAGTGGCTGGATAACCTTAGACTTGCCACTTAACTGGTCTCAGCCTGTTTCTTCTGTAAAATGGGAACAGTAACTGGAGTTATTAGTCACTAATATTCAATGAATATTTATAAAGCCCTCACTATATGTCAAGTGTTGCATTGAACTTATTAAAATAACTGCATGTAAAGAAAGCTTATCTCAAAGCCTGGTCCAGTGTAACCTAATTTTCACCAGTAAGAAGTAGGTTTCTTTTCCTCATAAGTAATTTTTGTGTGTCAGCAGCTACAAAACCATCCTGTGAAATTCTAAAGCGTGGTGCTCTTCCTATTTTCTATACTTAACAGAGCCTCATATGTTATTACAGTTAGAAAGAATCTTATGAGTTATCTGGTCTAGCTTTTGTCCAGTCCAAGACTGTCCTCTGTGACCCCCCCCGTATGAGCACCTCCACTGGGCCAGGCACCCATTCCCATCCTTGGACAGCTCCCCTATTAGACAATTCTTTCTTGAACACAAATTGCCTCCTTGTGGTCTGTGTCCCAGTTTTCTACAGATCATCTTAGAAAAAAATCTGCTTGCTTTCTCTCATGACAGTCCTTCATATATTTGAAGAGACCTATCACTCTTACTTTGTAGGCTAAAGTAAAAAGTGATAATAACCACCTCAGCCTACATGGATTTTTCTTTCTAAAATATTCCCATTATTTTTTTTTCCAAGGGAACACTATTAAGATGATGGAAAACACCTAGCCACTTAAAGTCATACATACTGTATTGAGCAGTGTAATTTAAGGGTCCAAAATAATTATTTGCAACTAACGTTGGAAATAATTGCCATTTGTTCCCTCCCTGCAAAATGCATTACTGGAGCAGTTATTTGCTCTCAGGCAGCATTCATGACTGCAGTTGCCCATAAGATTGGATGGAGGAGGCTTGCTTAAAGCACAGTGTTCAGGGCACCGTCCCCAGAGCTTCTGACTTGAGTTCTGGGCTGGGGCCCAGTAATCTGCATTTTAATAAGCATACCCAGTGCTCCCACATGCTACAGTGTGCCCTCAGGAGAGCCTGGTGTCCCACGCGAAGCACTACCTGGTGCAAAGGAAGGAGCCCATCTTCTCTGCTGGCCCCCGGGGAGCCCCTAACTAGCGGAAGGGCAGGGCAGCACCTGCACCACAGACAGGGATGGGTTGGGTTGCTGGGCTCTGGGGACCCTCCTTCTGCTTGTACAGGAATGGGGCTGCTTTGCTTGCCTTTTCCTATTGTTCCTGCCCTCTTCTGGGATGCCCCAGAGGCCAGCTAAAGGCAGTGGTGGCGGCTGACCCTTTGAGCACTTCCTGTGATCCAGAAACTCTTCTAAGCATTTTACTTGTGTTCACTCATTTAATGGCCAGGGCCCCCCACCCTATGAGAAAGGCTCTAATACCATCATGGTACAGCCAAGGAAACGGAGGCCTCGAGCGATAAGGCAGATTGCCCACTGTCATTACCCTGCTTTAGAGATAGTAAGGCCATCCAGGATCTGGACCCGGACAGTGTGACTCCAGGAGCCCTGGCCCAAGGCACTGGGACCCCTCCCGGGGCTGTCAGACCCATCCTCCCAAACACTGATGTCCCAAAGCCACCTCAAACTCAATCTGGAAATTGGTCATTTTTCTCCCTAGGTCACTCCTTCAGTGTTTCCTGCCTCCGTTGGTGCGGTGACTGCCATGGGAAACCCCCGTTTTACAGGTCCCCCTCCTTCCTACCTCTTACCAGTCTCTGCTCAGCTCACTTCCTGCATTTGACAAGTACAGCTGGCCCACGGGGGCGTGGTGCTGGCTGTCACCTGTCATTGCTGGGGCAGCTCAGACCCCACGTCCCACTGCCAGCCCGGTCCCCTTCAAACCCACCACCACCCACACGCTGCCCTGTGCTCATCACAGATTGGCTTCCCGATCCTGTCGCTCTCCCCTGCTTAAAACCTTGCGGCGTCTCCCCACAGCCTGCAGGACGAAGACCAAATCCTCCACCGTTTGCCTCCCACGGACCTTGGAGCCGATGTCTCACTAGTCCCCACGTTGAAACCGTTCCCCCGCTGAGCTGCCTGTCCTCTGTGCACAGCACCCTGTTGCCACCGTCCAGCCCTCTCCCTAGATGGAGGACCCTGACACTCTGCCCCTACCTGCTGGCCAAGCACCTCGCTTGCGGGTAACCTTTCATTCTGATACAATTTCAAACTTCCAGAAAAGTTGCAACATAGCCCAAATTCCCTCTACTCTTAACCCTCATGCTGATCATTACTCGTTAACATTTTGCCACATATACACATACACGTACACGCTGACCTATTTGAGGGTGAATTGCAGACATGATGCCCCTTTGCCCCTGAACACACCCGTGTTTATGTCCGAAAGACAAACACACTCTCTTATCTAACCAAATTACAGTGGTCAGAGTCCGGGAGTTTAACACTGATGCGAGGTTCTCTTAAAAAAAATTTTTTTTTAACGTTTATTTATTTTTGAGACAAAGAGAGACAGCATGAACAGGGGAGGGTCAGAGAGAGAGGGAGACACAGAATCTGAAACAGGCTCCAGGCTCTGAGCTGTCAGCACAGAGCCCGACGCAGGGCTTGAACTCACGGACGGTGAAATCATGACCTGAGCCGAAGTCGGACACTTAACTGACTGAGCCACCCAGGCGCCCCTGATGCGAGGTTTTCTAATCCACAGGCTGTGGTCGGGTTTCACTAATTGTCTCAGTGATGGTCATCACGGCTGCATTTTTTTTCTGGTCCAGGAGCCAGTCTAGGATCACCTGTTACATTTAGTTGTCAGGTCTCCTTAGTTTCTTTTAACCTGAAACACTCCCTCAGTGTCTCAGGACTCAAAAAAGCATGTTTAAGGAGTCAGGCAGGTTGCTTTGCAGAGTGTCCCCCAGCTAGAGCTCATGTGCTATTTCCTTGCCCTCAGATTCATATTATGCCTTTCTGGCAGGAACAGCACAGAAGTGATGAGGAGCCCCACTCAGTGCCGTGAGCCAAGAGGCACCTGCTTCTGCTGTTTTGTCGTTACTGTTGTTGATACTGATGACCTGGGAGACGTGGGGGTCTCATTTAGTTTGTCAACCTCGGTTTTCACGTCACCTCTTCAAAGGAAGCTTTCTTAGCCTCCCGCACCCCTCTTCCAGGCACCCACAGGTCTGGGGGCGCTGTTCCTATAACACCATTCTCAGTGACTCGATCTAATCCTGGTGGTTGTGTTCCTGTGTCCCCCACTCTGCTGCAAGCTCTGTGAGAGCAGGGACCACATCTTGTTCACCAGGGCAGCCCCCGCTCCCAGTTCAGGGCCTGGCACGTAGTAGGTGTTTCATACATAATGCTGAGTGAATGAAAGAGTGTGTGAGACTATCCTTGAACAGGTCCAGTCACAAAGCAAACCCCCACCCAGCTCTCTCCGGATCAGGCTTTGTGGCTTTTTCTGCTTTACTCGTGGAGCATGGCTAAGTTTTTTTTTATTTCTTTTTATGCCGGGTTCTCGCTGAAAGCATGAAAGTCTTGACTAAAGCCCAATAAAGAGGCACCATGTTTATCCTTCCCTTGGGGAATCACAGGACGGACCGATTTTAGAAACTTCGAACCCCAGTTTAAGATTTTCCCATTTGCTTCTTCTTGGCGTGTGGGAGGGTCAGGGTGGGGGAGATTCTCTGGGTCTTTTCTCATGTGAAATATTTGGACCTGAAAGAGCAGCACGAAGCATCTTTGGTGGGCAGGGGGGCCCACAGCCCGGTGGCCTCTGTCCAGCCACACCAGCCATGCACCGCACCCCGGGTCGGGAAGTGATTCAAGGGCTGTCCCGAAGCCTCTCAGGAGGTCACTCTCTCCCTTTGTTGTTTCAGACGCAGGAGGAGGGAGACGCACTGATGTTGTCATCAGACCTCTCCCGAAGCTTCTGCCATCTCATGGTCTCCAGGGGCTGGGGCTACGGCTCCCCACAAGCCTGCTGCAAGGAAACCCCACCCCCCCGGACGTGCGGTTCCTGGAGACCGGCCATCCTCTCTGCACCGTTTTGCTATTTGTGAAACCTAGGACAGCACCACCCCCTCAGCTGGATCCTCCCCTGGCTCCCGCGGAAAAGCCACCGCTGGGAATGGCTGTGCGACCAGGGCTTTGTGGCTTTTGAATAACGGCTGTCGTGCGTTGTTTCTGGGTGGACATGTCCTAGTCCATCAGGCCTCCCCTGCCAGCAGGTAGGATGGGGATGTGGGGACCCGCCAACAGCGAGGACCGAGTGAACTGTATGCCCCAAGCAGTAGATTCATTCCGTTCAGCTTGCTCTTACCCCATTACGTAGATGGTGGCAAAGGTCAGGAGACAGGCGGCTCTGGGTGAAGGGACTTGGTTGCAACACACACCTTAGCAGCTTCCAGGTTCATCTTAGGGACATGTTCCGAGATGAGCTGGGCCGAGAGGGGCCTCAGAAGGAGTTGGGCAACCGTGGCACTTGCAGGGCCTCGGGAGCAGGAAGAGCTGAATAATGCTCCCCGTGATGGCAAGTGAGCAGGCCTTTTCCGTGAGTGGGGTCCTTCCTCCGCCTCTGAGGCCTGGCTTCTGTGTGCTGGTGCTCATAATAGGCTCCCCAGGGCCCTTTCATTATGCTGACATGAATTGCATTGAGTTGAATTGGACTGAAATAAATTGAATTGAAAGGCGTACAAACAAGTATGAATCTCTCACTGAGTGCCAGGCCCCAGGGAATCACCAGAATCGTAATACAGTCCCGTCCACACCCACTGGGCCTTATAAGGACACTACCTCAGACTTGCAGCGGGAACACGTTTGGGGGGCGGGGGAGGAGGAGAAGGGGCAGGGAGGGCGGGGGGTGGGGGAGGCTTCGAGAGGAGACGTTCTTTGAGCTGAGCCTTCAAGGGCAGAGTGGGGACTCTGGAGAGGAGGGAAAGGCAAGGACATTACAGACTGGGCAGGTAGCAGGAACAAAGCAACTTGTGTGTGAGGAACAGGGAGGTGGCGATGAAGCCAGTGACCATGATCCAGCCGAGAGATGACACAGAGTCACACGAAGTGCGGCTCAGATGTGGCCGGGGATCCTTGTGCATCCCAACCACCTAGAACATTCCGCACACCTAAAGTGGAGTTCCCAGGGGGCTGGCCCAGGAATCTGCATTTTTTAAACCACCTCTAGAAGTGAATTCAGAGTTTGAGACTGGCCATCAGGGGGTGGAGGGGAGCCTCTGCCGGGTGATCAGGTCCTGTGTCAAGTGAGTGATCGGCACACTTCGTGCAAGTCAGAACCCCCGGAGGGCCCGTTAGCACACAGAACTGCTGGCCCCAGCCTCAGATCCTGAGTCAGCAGGTCTGGAGTGGGGGCCTGGGTATTCTCCTCGTGGATATGCTGCCAGGGGGTGATGGGGATGCCACTAGGCAGCCAATCTGAGGAAACACCCCTCTGGGAACCCAGCCGGACTGAAGGAAGCCCACTGACCCTTCTGCGGCTCTCAGGACTCAAGACAGTCATATTGGGACCACTTACTTACATTTGCCCATCCTTGGTTTCCAGCCGTCTGTGACACAAGTGTGGTGCTTGGGCATGTGACATACCCAGTACTCACTGATCCCAGGGTGGGTGAGCCTGGGCCGAGCAGCCCAGCAAACCCAGCTGGGGCATGCTGGGGTCTGGTGCTCAAGGCCATGCCGTCCCCCAGGCTGGCCCTGCAGAGGCGCACGGTATTCCTAGGGATCCATGGGATACCTAGTTTCCTGCAACCGGAAGTGGTTCCGATTTCTCCAAGGTCACAGGTGAAATCCCCAGGTGTCCCTTGGAAGGGCTGTCAAGAGCAGCTAGGGAAGAGCAACGTTCCATTATAGATGCCAAATGCCTTATTCAAGGCCACACAGCTCAGGTTACCAGGGTGGGAGAGAGGACGGGG